CCATATAGATATGATCACAATCTATGGCAATATTTGATTTTTTCATATATGGTATTGCCATTAATTAGGTTGTTTTGAATTTTAAATTTCTAACCATATAGATATGATTACAATCTATGATAACATTGAATTTTCCATATATGATATCATCATGAATCAACTTATCAATTAATTAAGATTGGGGGTAGATGTGTCCACAAGAAAACCAAAGAACCTATTGAGTTATAAGTTTTTTCACAGGATCATATCTTGTATAAGTTTTCCAAATAAGACTTATAAATAATTTATCCTAAAAAAATTAAAAAAAATAATCCTCTAATTTTAATTATTTAAAATAAGGTGGTGTGCATACACTTGTCGATACATTATGAATAATTTTAAATATACATAAAATTTATAAATAAATAAAAAATTGACAAAAATAATGTGATACTGTTATTATTATAAATAAATACATTTTAATGACATTTTATTTTAAAATAAAAATTTTACAGTAAATCATATCATTATATATAAAAATATATAATTTTTTAATTTATATTATATTAATTTTTCCTTATAATTGAGATTACGAACATACAGCCGAATTTCGACACCTCAATAGCGACATTGACTCTGTTCACTGCCCAGACCACATACATCCGTTTCTTTCGATATAAAATATTTTTTTTATAAATTGATTTTGTACGCACATTATATTAGGATCAAAGACACCCAGTGAATTATCTCACACACATAGAGAACACAATATTTACGTGGTTCGGTCCAATGCCTACATCCACGGACAGAAATGAGAATTATCACTAAAATGGAGCAAAAATACAAATACAGAGGAGGAGATGAAACTCACTCAACTCACAGCTCTCACTCTCCAATTTCTGATGATACAAACCTCTCCTCACTCATCTCAATTTATAACCAAGAGAGGAGGAGTAGGTGAAGTGCTAGCCATAATTGGCCAAGGTAGTGCCACCCTCACTATCTTCCTTTAGTGAGTTGGTGTAGCCCTCCACCACCTTCTTTTACAACATGGTGCTACCTACACTATGTGAATGGTGGGCTCATTACCATGTGGGTAGTGGATGGAGCCAACAATTCTCCCCCTCCACGCCCACATGGACAACTGACTTCTCAGCTTGGACTGCCAAGACACAGCTCCCCCTGATTGGATGCCCTGTACCCCCTGCTCGGGATACCCTTGCATTACCGTGCAACTCCTTGCATGATGAACACGGGAGCAACTAGAAAACTTCAGAGTGTGACACATCAACATCCTCAATTTTCCTTGCTCGGAGCTTATTTCTGAACAACCAGCCTTTGCTTTCTGCACTTTAGAACAACTTCCCAGCGATCTCATACGCCCGTTGTCTGTGCTGCAATCCCTGATGTTCGGTTCAGTCTCACTTGTACGTCCGTACTGATGTTTGACAGTTAGCCCTTCTGCCAAGACAACTTCCATCGGTCTGTACAAGTTATCACTATGCAACTCCGTGCATAGTGCTCGCACCCCCTTATTGGAGGGCATTGCAACGCTCACTTTGCGACTCGAGATTGCATCCCTCCTTTCCATGCATCTTTTGAGAGGTTGCAAAATGTCTCTAACACGGAAGCAAAAGAAACTCTCTTCTTCACTGGCATAGTCTCTACAGACTTGGTTTCTTTGCTCTGAACTTTCTTCAAGATTGGCTTCACTGGCTCAGATCTGTGCACCTTTGAACTGCCTCCTTGATTGATGTTGGCATGTCGACGTCA